ATCAGAAAAGTGTAGAAAATAGTCGTCATGGTGAAAGGTTTACGAGTGACCTAAATGTGCTCTCCTTTGTTCAGAATGAAGACCAACCGATTCCACTGGATATGTTCTATCAGCGGTTCTGCCAGCGATTCTCACATTCAATTCGACAAGATGTTGCAACAAATCCGAAGGAGCTGCTGCAGTTTCTCAAGCTCAACCGCGGATTGTTTTTCATTAGGAGTAACAAGGTAAGTAGTTGAATTGGATTAGTTTTCGGAGATTGTCCGTGATCCCTTTTTGATGGTAAGAAAAATATTTGAGAACACTGGTGATATGTGCAATGCATAATTTTAGGTGACGTTGGTGAAAAATCGTCCATCGGAGGATGGCAGTGAGAATGGCTCGGACGAAGGTGATCTAGAAAGCAACAACAACAGCGTGTTCCCGCTGGACCAAAACGCTCTGGCACGGATTCACTTTGTGAAAGCATTGAAACCCGCTCAGGTGAGGCATCTTCACAGAAGTTCCGGGATTGTTGTACTATAGCTAGATGAACCATCAGAACATGTCTAGACGGTTTAAACTGCTTCTTTTCTGGTACGTTTGGGTCTGCGAAAAGTAAATTTGAAATGGCTTCAGGGCATTCCGTGCTCCGTGGTTTTCCCATCGAAGGGGAGGTATTTTGCTATTCTAGGGAAGGGTCATATTTGGAAAAGGGGTATCCAACTTCCAAATGTTATTTGGATCAGCATGAGGCTCTGGGATGGGAATCGAGCATAACACGAGCATTGCGAGTCGCTGATTTTCAGCTCATTTTTTGGTTTGGTTAAGCGCCAATCTGGTTCAATATTGTGTCATCTCCATTATGATCCAGAGAATTTTATTCTTTTTATCCTTAGGAGCTCGTGGAGCGACTTCTACAGGACATCCACAACCAAGAACGCAAAGTAGTTGGACTCGACTTCAAAACGGTCACTGTGGGCATCGATGGCGAGCTCTTCCTCTCCCTATGTAGGTGTTTGGACGTAAAAAAGAGCTTTCAATCATTGAAAACAAAGAGTTCCTAACAACACAAACAAACTCTAATAACGGGTATAGTATATCACTGATATGGTTTTGCAGGAATCTGTGAGTCCTTTTTAAATTTTTATTAAAATCAGCAGTAAAATACAAGGTCCAAAGCTTTTTTGCACAGATTTGTTCACCTGAGCGTCAATTGTACCCTTCGAGAGCTGGTTAGTTTATGGGGTTTTCCGATGACAGACAATTTTTTCTTCTGTATTGCTTACTAGTTATTGTGAGCACATAAGTATCATTATAGCGAAATTTGGAAGCTCTTCGATCACAAACTAAGAAACTGGGAAGTTTTGAAACTTCGCCCACCTTTAGTTTTTGAGCGCATGTCGAAACAATTCCATATTTCATAGAAACTTCGAAAAAGTTTATAATCGCATAAGCACAAAATACAAGAATCAAACCATAAATTTGAGCACAAATTTAGAACACGAGAACAACATACAAAACGGAACGATGCTCGAAAGTGATTCAGAAGAAAAGTGCACTAGAAGTCAGTCACAGACAAAACTGTAAAAATAGATACAAGTTACATTGAACAGAAAAGTTAGCACAAAAACACATAATTAATAAAATGTTCAACAGAGCAGAAGCACAGATAGATACAGAACATTCGAAATATGTAAAAAACAAAACAAAACACAATAATAAATAGATATAATGAATAAAAAAAGAATAGAAAAAATGATAAACATACATAGCAAGACAAATGAATGAGGAGCAGAGATTATAAGAAAACAATATGGGAGAGAATAAGAAGCACGCTCTCGACTCGAAAAGCTCATAGAAACAAAAAGAGAATAAGAAGGTAAAGTAATAGATTTCAAGAAGAAAAGTAAAATAGATATATAGATATAAAAAAAAAGAATAAAAGATAAGAAATTAAAAAGCCACAAAGGAAGCAAAAACAGAAAAAAAAAACGAGTCGAAAGAGAGTATATATAAGAAAAAACAATGTATGTTAGATATATTAGAATATGATATCAGAGATATACTAATGTACTTAGAAGTATAGAATATATAAACAGAGAAGATCATTTAAGGAAAAGGATATACGGCAATAAATAAGAATATATATAATGAGATATCAGAACTAGAGAGACATATAATGATGTAGACACCCCTAAAACAAAGACAACCTAAGTTCAGAACGAAACCGATAAAAATGTAATACATCAAATACTATTGATTTAATTTAAATAAATTAACCCAGAGTATGAAATACAATATGTACTAAACGGATGAAATGACAAATTTATCAAAGAGAAGATATAATAACATTTGTAAGAAATGGTCTTAGAGAGTGCTTATAAGAAAAAATGAAGGGGTTATTGCACGACATAAATGACGTATGTAATCAGAATTCTGAAATGTTCAAAAATGTGTTGTGCCAACGCTGAACGTTCAGGTGTGGTTGCCACTCAGTCACAGATTGGTGTGTTCGATCTTGCCTCAAGTGATGTCATCATTATGGAAAGCGGTCTAAGGGACATACTTGAGAGCGACAAGATCACCAAGGTGGGGCTTCAATTTCTTCTCAGCACTCCATGTGTTCTCTCGCAGGCGTGGTCATAAGATCACATCGGTTTCACTCTGATTAAGAGCCGTCTCAAAGCGAAAGATTACGATAAAGTGTGTGCGGAAAGGAAGTACATGCACCAGTGGAAGCAGTAGTCAGGGCCAAAGGAAGCGAAATGTGGCCTTTTTGTGGACCAAAGGTGCGCTAGTTGCAGCGCCCTGGGGCTGCCAATCCTTTCTGAGCTCCGCCACCGCCTGTGCTCCGCCACCAGTGTGTTGCCAGCTGTATCATCGTTCGATTATCATTTTGATAAGGTACTCCACTTCGAGCACGTTTCCTACAACTTTTCCATGAAATGCGTGCCAGAGCCTCAATTGCGCGTTTTGACGGATTTTTTGCTTTTTTCGCCACTGGAGCATTTTTCAGCATCCCCGCGTTCACCATGACCTCAACAATCTTATCGTAATCCCTCGCTTTAATCAGAGTGAAACGCATTCCAGAATTTTCAAAGACTCTGTATAAAAGAAACCTTGCCAGGAGAACGTATCAGACCTCATAGGAGTGCTCCTAAGAACAAAGAACTACCAAGTTAATTGCAGGTGATTCACGACGCCAGACGTGTCGGATCTCTGTTAGCACACAAGTACGCTGTACATATGGTTAACGTTTTTGATACCCAAGTAAGTTTCTTCAAAGTAATGCATTGGACTCAGCAGACGGAACATTAAAGTCTGCTTATTCAGGTTGCGCATTCCGTTCTGCAGCACGAAAAGTTCGGCAAGCCGCTTCATGATCTTCGTTCCATATCCTTTGTTAATCTTCAGCGCGTATACTATCCACAATCAATTATGCTTAGTGACGTGACCCCACGGAAGCTCAGTCAGTCACCTAAGTAAGTTAATGCAAAGGATGCTTTGTTTTGCTTTTGAGTGGAAATTCTCGGTCTAACTGTCGACAGCGTA